CAAGTTTCCGTTCAATTTGTTGTTACTATGTTTCGATCCCGGCGACGACGACAACAATGGCTCTTGAGAAGAATTTGATATGGATGTCCAAACGACACGTCTTTCCTAAAACTCAAACTTTTACCTTCCCGTCCTTTTAACCGTAATTCACTGCGGTCAATAGTGTAAGGTGCTTGGGTTTTAACCCACGATCTTCTGCTCAGTAAGCAAAAACGGTAGCTCTAAGGCCACCATGCCCCTTTTTCCGTGTTGGGTATTTTGATTACTGCGACCAGTACTTAGATCTATTGTGATATATTCCCCGTTTCAATATTGCTTTATCAGCATGTCATATCACCATTTTATGAAGCGACCGACATAGACTGACCGAAAGCATTTTCCCAGTTAGGTATTACATTTCGAATGAATTGCACTACTTGGCTGGGAACTGAATTCCTAATATAAAAGGGTTCTGTCAGCCCCTTATCCAGAAAAAATACGCCTCTTACTGAAGATTACTGTACAAGAGCATAGCAGGTGTTCAGTAATCCAGGGCTGGCAGCAGGTCACTTTTTAGTGACTTTGTCACTATTTTGAAGTCAGTCACTAAAAAGTCACTTTTCAAACCAAAAAGTCACTTAAGTCACTATTTCCCTAAAAATAGTCACTAAAGTCACTTTTTCACAACGAAAATAGAGTGAAATGGCAAAATATCAACAACATTTTTAAATTGAGTACTTGGCACTAAGGAAGTTATAAAAGAATTCTGAGATGATTTCCAAGGAAACTTCCAAGAGAACTCTAAAGAGTTCGAAATAAATTCCGAGAAGAATTCCAATGCAATCTGCTTTTGAGGGTTCATTCTCAAAGGAATTCTTCGAAGAGTTTTAAGGGTATTCTGAGATGGATTTTTGTTTTGAGAATTCTGAGAAAATACCATGGGAATTCTGAGGAGAATACGAATTGAATTTCCAATATAATTCAGGGGAGAAGTTCAAGATTATTCTAAGCAGAAGTTTATGATATTTCTGATGTTAATTTCATGGAAATTCTAAAGGGAATTCAAGTAAATTTAAAATGGATTTATGGGAAGAACCTTCATGGAAATCCTGGAAGAATAATTAAAAAATCAAATATAATCTACTCTAACTAATTATGATTTATTAATTTATGCATGAAGTTAACGATTTAAATAGTTCGAGATGCTTAACGTCAAATATCAGGCTTAAAGTGGACATTTTATACGATAGATGAGGAGATGAAAGTATAGAATTGAGTACGGTAGTGTGAAAATTGCATATAGAAAGTAGAAGTAGAAAGCGAGCAAAGGACCTTTTTTTAGTAAGTTACGAATTAGGTAGATGCTTACGTCAGATGGCTATTTGAGTGTAAAACAATTAATAGAACTGTTTCCACACATCGGAGGTACATGAGCAAATCGGCGGTCATCCCTTTTGCCAGTGTGGCGGAGTGAAACACCCCTCACTATCCCTCATCAACGGATGAGTTTGGTAAAAGGGATGCTCTACCCGATTCGTACCTTCCTCAAAATTGTTTTAAGCTCGCTTTTTTACTTTCTATATACAATTTTCAAACTGCCGTATTACAACGGAACTATCAGCTCTATACTTAATTAGCATCACCAACTACGAAAATAATCTATTTCCAAGAATGTTGTCCATTGTTCTGCAAAGAATTTCCAGAATGCAATATTATTTTTGTTAAGCTTGTTTTAGAAGCAAAGAGGAGTGGAATAGTTCTAAAAAAGGTTCTTGAGATCATTCTGATTTTTTTTATGAAATATTCTTAGCGAATTATCAAAGTTATTTCAAAATTTTAAAGATTTCCATGGCAGAATCAAATTTAAGATCTTCGATAAAAAATGCTGTCGTTGTAATGATCTATTTACCCTATTTAACAGTAACATTTAAAAAAATCTTTGGGAAAATCCGGAAATTGCATATAATTAGAGGAATTCATGAAATGTCATTTTAAGTTCCATGACAAAAACAGTTTATTTCAATATTAAACCATATTTGAGTTTCTGAGTCATCATATAAATGTAACTATATGTAAGCGCTGTGGATTATAAGATGCTCGATGACCCTCGAGGGATCGATTTTGCTTACTGAGCAGAAAATCATGGATTGAACCCCAAGCTCTTCCACAGCACAATAAATCGTCCACCATTTGTATATTTGATATTGAACATTAACCTCGGAAACTATTTGCATATCAAGCGAAAACGTAGTCCAGTATTGTCGCGAAGCGTTATGGTTCTGAGATGCTCGATGACCCTGGAGGGATCGTTTTTGCTTACTGAGCAGAAAATCATGGGTTTAATCCCAAGCTCTCCGTCATGACTCTTAAAATTCATTATCACTAAACAAAATTAATATGTTCTTTCGATAGCCGGCTATCGAGAGATTAAATAAACAACAAATAAACAATACATACTTTTGGTTGCATCGCCAACTTGAGGTGAATCCTAACCGAATACCCTACCCAACCCTCCAACTCCGTAGCACTTATGAGGGTGTCACTAAGTCGGTGGCCTCTCGTTAAGTAAGTACTACATCAACATTTCCTTCCCTATCCCTAGTTATGGTAAAGATGGGCGTGGCCGGGAATAGCGACAGTCATGCTTCTGTTACTCTTGTTTAGATTGGAACCAATGTTTACTCCTCAGCATTATTCCTGAAAGTAGTCTAACTGAGAATTTCAGAAGAGACGTGAGTGTCGCTAGTATCCAATCTACGAAGTATATCATAACGCTAACGCTAACGCTAATCATATAAATGTAACTATTGGTTACTTATTTATAATTCAAAAGTCACTATTTCCGTAATTTTAGTCACTAAAGTCACTACTATTATATCGCATCAGCGCTACCAGCCCTGATGTAGCGTTTCCTACCTGTCGCTTAGAACGAGAATGTAGGATCGCTTTGCGAGTCTTACATTCCCAAAAATTGGATTTGTGGTTTTCATCACAATTTGAGCATTTAAATTTCTTAGGATCTTCCTTCACAGGACAGCCGTCCTTTGCGTGAGAGGAATCACCACAATTCATGCATTTAGCTGGCATGTAGCAATTTTTAGTTCCGTGACCCCATCCCTGGCACTTACGGCACTGGGTGAGGTTTTGTGGAAATTTCCTCCAGTCTTCCTGAAGTGTTCCCACTTCACTCGGATATGGAGCATAAGGCTCGTTTTTTCCAAGGCCTTAAGGTTGTTTAGTTCACTATACTTGAAGTGAACTAAATAAAAATCATTAGAAATCTCGTTGCACAAATCGCCAGGACGGGATTTCGTTTTCAGTGTTGGTGTTGTAAGTAAAAAAAAATGATACTGCTTCTCAGTAAGATACTTGAGAAGACGTTTGAATCCGCCCAAGGTTTCAGCCAACACACGGCACTCACCCCTACGGCCAATTTGCAGTGAAAACTTAAATCTCATGAAGTTCAAAAGTGAGCATGGAAATCGGAAGTGGTTATCACAATAGGGGAAATCTTTTCCTTCTTGGCATTTAGCCGGGAAAGTTCACTATAATTTTTCCTACATGATGGATCATTCTCATCATCCGTGAGCAAATCAAATTGATTGCTCAAATTAATTTCATCAGAAGGGGATCAAGATATTGCCCTTTTCTTTTGCGCTTAGGCGCGCCATGGCGGCAGTAAAACTTTTATCCAAATCGACTTCCAAGCAGATTGCTATACGAATCTGAAGGATCGAAGAGGAATTTTCCAAATCGATATCCAAGCAGGATTACCACGGGTAGGGTCCAAACAAGGATCGAAGAGGAATAAGGGTCGAACAAGGTATAAAATTTACAGGTATATTGAGCACTGAAAAGTGCTGTTTAAATTGGTTGTAGCCTTAGGTAGTAGTAACACTTCCTTCAGCAAAATGCAAATAGATCCGCACGGCAAGAGAGTACGATTTGGACTGATCACTACCAGCCCTGATTACCTGATCTTTTTGTCGGTACGGTACCGGCGTAGAGGTTAACATCCATACCTCTCACGCCAAAGTCACGAGTTCAAATCTCATCACCGGACAAGTCACGAATTACCCCAAGAGTGCTAGTAACTATTATGACCTGTTTTGAACTGTTCATCAAGTTGCGCCAAATGTACTTTCTCAGGAAAAAAAAACGCCTTATCAATGAACGACATACCAAATTCCGTAGATATTAGCTCATGTCGCCAATTTTTATCAGCGAAAATTCTTATCATTTATCAGGCGATATACATTTCCACGTCAACTGTTACTGTCGAGTATGCAGTAGCTATCAATCCATCAGCGACTCTTTTCCTGCTTCACGCTTTCTTCGAATCAATCGTCTTTATCCGATACAAAGTGATGGCCACAAGTAGGTATAGCTTGCTTCGTCAGCTGCTAAACCATGCCAAAGAGAGGAAGCAGCGAACCTACAAAAAAAAATCGTTATTTACCACAAATAATCACTCGACAGATATGCGAAGATGAAGAAAAAGTCACGATCTCACGAGCGTAAATCAAGCGCACGTATAGTAAGAGCACTGTCTAATGTGCGAGTCAATGAAGTGGAAAACCGAGCGCCGACGACAGGAAAACAGATGATACAAAGAATAGCAATGCAACGGGCGGAATATGTTGAGTAACACATTGTACGCAAATGCGGCGACATGACAGCCGAACGAAAAAAAATCGTCCCAATAAGAAACGTCCAGCTAGCTAAGCTGTTGAAATTCGATCATTTGGCCTATTTGTTGTTTCGTGCGATGTGTCATACAGTCATTTCCACCTACTTTCCCTTTCATCTGACCAGCACCCAACCGGGAAATGTAAGATTCTATTACAGATTTTCTATGCAAATTGCAATGTTTGGGTGGATGCACTTTTCTGTTAGCTAAACTTTTGAATAAAGTCTGTTTGCCCAATTGAACTGGGGCTAGAAAGACATTTGTTTTGTGTGTATATTATTCGCATGATTTCATCGAATTTTCCCTTCTTCTCCCCCCGTTCTATTTGCAGCGAGCAGAGCATAATCGGTGCCCGGGCATCGGTGATGGTCTACGACGATGGCCAGAAGAAGTGGATTCCCTCGGGCAGCTCGTCCGGCCTGAGCAAGGTGCAGATCTTCCACCACCAGCAGAACAACACATTCCGAGTGGTCGGTCGCAAGCTGCAGGACCACGAAGTCGTCATCAACTGTTCGATCATCAAAGGCCTCAAATACAACCAGGCAACCGCAACCTTTCACCAATGGCGGGACTCGAAGTTTGTGTACGGTCTGAACTTTTCCAGCCAACAGGACGCGGAAGCGTTCGCCCGGGCCATGATGCACGCACTTGAGGTGAGTCATAGGGAAAATTCACCCCCAGACGACAGCCAGCCCAGGCATCAGCGCGCTGGGCTAATGAGTTATCGATTTTTCATGCTTTCCCTTTTAACGTTTCGTCATTGTATTCCCTCCTTCCATGCAGGTGTTAAGTGGCCGTATTCCGATGCCGACGATGCAGACGAACCCGAATCAGAATCCACTGGCCTACGAGGAGGATATGGGCTATCGCACAATGACCCGTGAAGACGCGGCCATAATGCAGCAACAGCAGCAGCTGACCAGTCAACAACAGGTTCCACAACCTCCCGGAGTAGGAGGAGGAGTAGGTCCTCCGGGTTCGGTTGGAATCCTGTCGCCACAGACACCGACATCACAGGGTTTGCCCCCCGGTGGCGGGCAGCCAGGTGGTGCTGGTGGCGGCGTTATTGGTATCGGTGTTGTGCCCATTGCCGCCCAGATGAATCAGGTTCCACCGCCTCTGCAACAACAGCCGCAGCAGCAGCAGCAGCAGCAGCAGCAACAACAACAACAACAGCAACAGCAGACTCATCATCGTACTAGCAGGTTAGTGGGGCGGGGAGTTTCTACTGTTTTTCGTTGCGATGCGATTGCGAAACACTGTCTTCTAAGATTCGATGGGTTTCAACTTCGAGAATTCCCGTGTGATTAATCTTACAAACACCAATCTGTATTTTCCCAAAACTTATTTCCCAACCATCCATACTGCTGTCTATGAACCCATTCCACAACACCATGATCATGACTCACACCCAGTCACCCGGAGTGAAAATCGACAAATTGTTTCCCCTGTTTGCGTCTCCGTCCCTATGATACCTATATGTGCTCGAACACAGAACGGAGCCAAACAAGCATAACGATTTCAATTTGTGCAAAGTGAGGCCAGCTGTAATTTGAAATTGAATAGCAGCCAAACACTAATTTCGATTCCTTGAGCTGCTGTGTTCCGGACGGCACGGGCCAGCCCGTGGTGGTCTCTCATCGTAATAATGCACAGCAAATATGACCGATGAGCCGTGGCCGTCTCGCCCGGCGACGGCGGCGACCGAAAGTGGGGAACTGCTTGCGCCGGAGAAAGGAAGAAACGGAAAATAACCCCCTTCAAGGACTTTTCCTTATGAGTTGATCCATGCAATATAGTGTGGCGATGGGCGCGGAATGCGCTGCTCATCGACCGGCTTTCTCAACGATGGGCGGTGGAAAGTAGCAGACTGTGATGGCGCAAGGGTTCTGGATGGGTTGCATTTTATCAACGAGCGCAGATTCATCATTTCTCGTTGTTTCTCGACGAAAACGACCGAATGAGCACACCATTACCATTATCTACGATGATGATAATGATGAGGAAGATGATAGTCGTCGTCGTCGTTCGGTTCGGCTCACTTTGGATTGGAGTTTGGGTTATTATAATGATGGCGGGAAAGTTTTTCGCGTTTTCGACTTTCTGAAAGCGGTGCCTCTGTTGTGAGGTTTTGCGAAAAATCGACTCTCCCTCTCATTGCTGCTACCTACTCTCGAACAGGTACACAATTGGGCGCATCTTGAATTAGCTAAAGACGTAATAAGAGCCGATAAAATCGCGCGCTGGTTATATATTGGCGGGAAAACAACGCTTGATTGCGGGAATCACTGAAATTGGAGCGGTGAATGATAATTGCTAGTCTTTTGATATGAGCCGATGTTTGCTTTGGAACGCAGTTTCAAAAACAGCAGCAGTTCTTTGGCTCGTCGTGATCAAACAGTTTCGACATTCTGACTAAATAGAAAGTTGGTGTCTTGAGCAGGGTTACCAACAGATTTTCAAAAATTACTGGTAAAATGCAAACACTAAAAAATCGGAAGAAAACTGGATCCCCTTACAAACATTTGATTTTCTTGAAACATGTGACTTCTCAGATAGTTTCTTTGACTTAACTGGGATATCCGGTGGGATTCTCAAGGTAGTCCATAAGGATCCGAAGCTTGCATCTTGACCCTCTGGTTAAGCATTTTCAGAATGCTCGAAGCAACATTCTTGCTCTCTTTTGGCCACTTGATAGCAGCATGCGCATGGGTAGTCGAGTACCTAAAGGCTGACTAAAAGTAAATTGGTAACACTTATCTCTTCTATAGATAACAACTGCTGCAAGTTTGATCAAAGTAGTCGATCGCATTCAGAAAAAAACGTCAAATGGAACAAACACCTGGAAAATCCGTTCCGGTTCCAAGCTAGCTAACGTGCCGAAGATGTCGAAAACAACAGTTTGTCGAATACTCAAAACCTTCAAGGAAACCCTGAGTGTGGAAAGGAATCAGCGGACCTACGAAAAAACTGGAACCAGGGATCGACAGCTGCGCAGCAAGGTGTTGAGGTGCGTTAAAGCCAATCCCGGTCTTTCGATCCGAGATGTGGCCAGAAGAAACAACGCCAACTTTCAAACGGTGCGGAACATCCTTGTCAGAGAAGGATACAAGTCGTACAAAGCCAGTAAACATCCCAACCGGCACATGAAGCAGAATTCCGTGGCCAAAAAGCGTGTTTTGACGAAACACAACAGCCGCACTTTGATCGATGACGAAACATACGTCAAACTCGCTTTAAAGCAGCTTCCCGGTCAAAAGTTTTAAATCGCGACTGGACGTGGGTATGATCCGGGAAGATTCAAGTTTGTGTTTGCCGACAAGTTCGCGAAGAAGGCCTGAGAAGGCGAATGCTGAAGCAACTCGACTGAAGGGTCCAATCACAGTAGTCTAGATAATAATTTGATTTCAATAAACTCAGTTTGCATTAGTCACTCGACAAGTACAGTTGTCTTTCTTTTTCCCTCCAAGAGGTCATGGCCCTTTGCTAGATAGGAGCGGTACCGTAGCAACCGAAACAACAAGAGTGAAAATTTTCAAGCTCATTTTTTCAAGATTTTTCCGTTCTTCGTTCCGTCGCGCTATTGAAGATTGAAGAAATTCAAATATCGAAGCAAAATGGAACGATTTGGAATTATCAAGCTTAATGGATCCAATTATTCAACCTGGAAAACGAAAGTGGAATTCCTGTTGATCCGAGATGACCTCTGGAAATACGTAACTCAACAGCCACATGTGAAAAGGGCATACAAGGCCCTCTTCTCGCCAACCGAGGGTCGCCCACGCAAACTAACAACATCATCGGGAAGGGGAAACCTTCCCCTATCCGGCGATGTTGATGGTTTGCGTTGGTGTCATATGGGTGGCGAGAAAAGGGCATAAGAATGTTTGTTTACAAAAAGCTTGTATGCCCTTTTCACATGTTGTTCTTGAACTGGGAAACGACCAGAACTCGGTGTAGAGCCTAGACCAGCGGATGTAGCAGCAGTTGAAGCGTGGGACAACGGAAACCAGAAGGCGCGTGTCACAATTGGCCTTTTGCTTGAGGACAACCAGTTAAATCACATTAAAGGGTCGAAAACGGCAAACGATACATGGGACCTGTTACGAGGACACTACGAGAAGGCAACACTAACATCGAAGGTGTCGCTACTCAAGAGGATCTGCGATAAGAAGATGGCGAGGACATCGAACGGCACAGGTTCGAAATGAAGGAGTTTTTCGAGCGGCTGACGGTGGCGGGCCAGGAATTATTATTATTATTTAGCTTTATTAAGGAGGCTTTCAGCCTTGGGCTGGTTCGCCTCCACCCGGGCCAGGAATTGAATCAGAGTCTGCAGGTGGCCATGATACTCCGTAGCTTACCGGAATCATTCAATACTTTAACTACGGCGCTGGAGAGCAGAGCAGACGACGAGCTCACTCTGGAATTGATTAAATCAAAGCTAGTAGACGAGGTGTCGAAACGCTGTTTCGGAGCACGTGGTGAATCAGTTCTGATAACGATAACGTGCCATTTTTGTCAAAAGCCTGGCCATAAGCAAAAGGATTGTCGCGCAATGATGAAACAAGAAGGAAGTCAGAGCAAGTCTCTTGCTCCGGGTGAGAAGCGGAGCTGGCATACTCATTTGCGGCGAGAAGCAACTTGAACCTGGTAAATGCGTGGGTAATCGACTCAGGAGCAACCTCCCACATGTGTGCGAATTTGGATTCGTTTGAGGATTTGGATGGAAGCGTGCAGCAGGAAGTCATTTTGGCGGACGGCAAGAATGCGTCTGCAAAGGGAATCGGATCGTGTCATCTGACATTCGTTTCTCCCGAGGGTGAACACTCCAAAGTAGTCCTCACAGATGTATTGTACGTGCCGGATTTTGAGTCGAACCTCATCTCCGCGAAGAAGCTTACCGTGAAAGGTGCTACTATAGTCTTCGATGCCAATGGGTGCCGTATTTTGAAAGGTGAGAAGCTTGTCGGTGGTGCTACATCTACTGGTGACTATTGCTCACGAAGCATTAGCGTCAAGAGAGAGCAAGCACACATCAAGTTGCCAACACACGTGGCATCGCATCTTAGGACACCGTGATCATGATGCCGTTCGGGAGCTCGTGACCAAGGAATTGGCGACCGGAATTAATGTTGAAGACTGTGGCTGCCGTGCAGTGTGCGAATGTTATCTGGAAGGAATGCTGACACGTCTTCCGTTACCGAAAAAGTCCAAACGCAAATCAAACCAGGCGCTTGATCTTATTCACTCGAACGTATGCGGTCCTATGCGAACACCAACGCCTGGGGGATGTCGATATTTTCTAACTCTGATCGACGATTTCACCCGCTATTGTGTCGTGTATTTCCTGAAGAACAAATCGGAAGTGAGAGGTCGGATCAAGGAATATGTGAGGTTCGTGAAAACGCTGTTTGGTAGAACGCCTAAAGCCGCATCCATTCGGATCAAGGTGGCGAGTTCCAAAACGACTTGTTAGATAGATTCTGCAAAGAAGAAGGAATCAAGCAGCAGTTTACCGTTGCATATACCCCCCAACAGAACGGTGTATCGGAGCGAAAGAATCGTTCCCTGGTGGAGATGGCGCGTTGCATGGTCATCGATTCACGTGTGCCGTTGAAGTACTGGGCCGAGGCTGTCAACACGGCCAATTATTTGCAGAACCGTTTGCCAACCAAACCTTTGCAAAAGACTCCGATCGAAATGTGGTGTGGATCGAAGCCGGATCAAAGTCATTTGAGGATTTTTGGATCGTTTGGATTCCCCAACAGAAGAGATCCAAGCTAGAGGTGAAATCAAGAAAACTGGTGTTCGTTGGATATTCTCTGCAGCACAAGGCGTATCGCTTCATGGATCCTGAGAACGACAAGCTGACTGTGAGCCGTGATGCAGTATTCCTCGGGCAACCGAACCTCATAAGGGAAGTATGATTGATTATCCCTTTAAACCTATTGAACCTGCTAAAGTCGACGACGTCCCCGTTGTTCCAGTAAACGAACACGACGAACACGGTGATTTCCAAACTCTGGAGAAGAGTGGATCAACCGATGGACAGGAGGAGAATGATTTTGACACTCCACGGCGGTCCGACCGTGCAAATAAAGGTGTACCGCCGAGTCGTTATCCAGATGTAGTCACGTTGGTAACGGAACATCGAAATGAGTCCAATACATACCCGGAAGCCATGGATTGCCACAAAAGCGAG